CACAATGGTCCTATCTCCTCTAACATGTCTGAAAGGGCATTGTGGACCCTTTTTACAACCATTGACTGTACTAAAAAATAAACAAACAGCCGCCGTTGATTCTAAAATAGAAAGAAATACTCAAAATAAATGTAATACTGAATTGGTTCATACTAAACTTACTATCCATTCCTTGAAATGGTAATGGAAGTGCTCCATATTGTTCTTCAAGAGCTACTTCTATGTCGAATTTAATATGATCAACATTGGCTACTACACATTCCATTTTTGCTCGCTTATTTACACCAAATATTTTACAAATACTTAAAAATCTACATTTGTTTATAAAAACTACTGTTAAGTTTAAACCTCACCGCATACCGCAACACCACTACTTCAGACTTCAACTGTCAATGTCAACCTAAAATTATCGCAGGCAGAGGGAAATCGAAATAATAATGCTCCTGTATTTTGTATGCCTGATAATATTCCGAAAAGGCATATAAATTTACATAAATATAATAATGTTTAATCTATATGGGACAATATGCAAAACCAGATAGTAAAATTATCATTTGAAGAAGGAAACCATAAGATTATTCATAGACTACCAGAACAAAAATGCTCTGCAAAATGTTATTTTATATTTTAGGAATTCTTATTTACGCTACAAATTACCACTAGAAGAGCAAGTTAATGATTAAAAATATTAAATAGTTTGAAAAACATTTGTTATGTCGGTACATTACAAGTGATTCAAAAAATAGCTTTTATATTTAAAAGTTTTTATATTTTTTGAACTGTTTTACCTAAACTATTTTCATATACCTTGTAAATATATAAATATGAATAAAACAGAGATATGTAAGATCTCTGGAATAAAATATCTGGATTCAAATTATCAATCTGGTAGAAATATTTCAAAGTCAGTTTACGTAAAAATATGAACACTGTAATAAGTTTACACTGTTTCCCGCTAGGTGGTGCTAGTAACAGACTGCTCAAGCTATCATTGAAATTGAACACACAGTCTCAAGGTCGACAACTAGAAAGCATACTTACCTGGCGTAGGGGTTACCGTGATCAACAAGGCGGTTCCCCCAGGGTGAGGCCCTCCCATTGCACTTCGGTTGGGTTGACCCCTGCGATTATCCCTAATGCGGATAACTCGGGCGCGTAATTTTTGGTAGTCGGGACTGCGTACGCGCTGTCCCGGTGTTATATAATCTAAACATAATATTTAAATTTATAAATTTTGTAATTCCCTTTTATTCATTATCATTTCTCTTCATTAAATAAAGTCGTGTTTAGTTTAGACAGAGAACTACGAACGCAGTTTAGATATTACATTCTCCATTTCGTTTTCGTCGCACCTTTTTCTCACATCCATTTTTATTTGACTAATTTGATCTACTTTTTTATTCTTCTCTGCAGGTGTCTATATTCTGTTACAAGATACACGAGACCTAAAACAGCACGAATTTCATCAATGCTTGTTGAGTATATATCTGGAGAGCGACTGAATTTCTGCTTCTATTTTTGTATTGTTCCCATCAAAAATTATTTGCAACATGTCAGTATCAAATAGATTGTTAAAGATATCTAAAATATCGGTTTTCTGTCTGACACATTATTTTGAAGCCGGAAGCTGCAGAACAATATTTTCACTTCGAATTCTTACGTTCTTAGGGACAATATGCTTAGCTCATTTTGTTTTCACCTAAGGAAAGCTAAAGCAGAAGAGTATAAAAATATAACTTAATAGGTGCATGAGAGGGTGAAGGGAATATATTGAAATATCCAAACATACATAAAAAAAGTAAAAGGTTTTAATTATATTAAGTACATGAATCTGAGACAAAAATACTAAACACCTAAGCCGTATTTATACCTCTGAAATCTGGTCACAGTTGACCAATTATCAATTCTTCTGTGACTTAAATTACTAAATGATACTTAAATTCTAAGAGCTTAAACCTATGACGTACTCTTAGTTCATCTAACTATGCACTTTAGCTAACATACAACGCAGCACTAAGTATTGTTGGAACAATGTGACAGTAAAGTAAGCATGGTAACTGAGTTGTCTTTTGCTAAATTTAGTGTCCCAATAGAGAAGTAGCTTTCATGTTCGTCCAAGATCTATAATATTGGATTTGTTTTGGAACTATCGAATACAGAATAGTTCATCCATCCTGAGAGACTTAATGTAGCAGCAGGTGCTCCGTTTAACATGTGACACTTAAAATTAACTCTTGGGAATATCAAGACAGGGGTTAGTGTAGTTCCTGAAACATTAGGCAAAAGTTAAGTACTTTAGAAACTCATACTTTTGTAAAATTTACAAACCTGTTGCACCTATAATGCAGCATATTCGCCGCTTGTAATTTTATTAATTTGCTTTACTCTCCTTGGTGCAAGAATATTTGATGACTTTTGCACAGTTGTGGTCGATCTTTCATTTAAATTAAAAATGCGTGTGCCTTCAGAAAATCCATCAAATTGCTTTAAAACTTAATATAAATTTCGAAAAAGTGCATCCACATTACAACGATTAACTTATGTATCCCTGGATAAGCTGCAAACCTTTCGATTAAAGGATACTGAGTTCGGGATGTCTCTTTTTGAAACCATGAAGCCAATCAAGTCCAGCTAACTTCCTTTCTTCCTATTTCTGAGACATATAAATTTTGTTCTACAGAGTTCGTAAGTTTCCGTAACACGTTTTGCTGCATTGTATTACGTAATTTTTAAGCAATATTTCTTGTTCACCATTTCATGTCCTTCGAGTATCGTAATGGGGTTTATACAATAACAGGCCGTTGAAAGTTTCTTTACTTATATGCTAACGCTTGATAATTAATGCCATTTCTATCGGCTGCTATTCTGAGGCTGAAGTTATGTTTTAATACATCATCACAATATATGCAGGAATAAAATCTTATTAAAACAAAAAAAATACTCCAAGTTAAAGGTCTGACCTGAAGGTCGAAAAAGTAGCATTCTGACCTTTATCATTATTAATTAGCCACTTTGAAGCAGGTTTAAAATTTCCTTAAATTATTCCCGTTAGAAAATTACTTTCACGCTCTCTATGTCTATATATTTTGTTAAAAGCCTTAAAAAGCAACAGCAACGAGCGATTTGTTACGCTTTTTTTAAACAATGAAATATTTCGCCAAATGTTCCTATTCTTATCTATCATTTGCTAAAAAGAAATATTTCCTAGTAACAAAGGAATCAGTGCCCATTGCGAAATACCTGGTCTACCTTCTCAGAAAAGCAGAAGAGTTGGTTTTCGGTGTAAGTATAATTCCTGTCGGGAGATAGTGGGTTAGATTACAAAAATTACCACACTAGCCTTGCCATTTAAATATCATTTTTGCGTGGCACTCTTCAGCCAATACTCCCACTCCTTTTTTATCTTTAGCTTGCCTAAGATCAGAATTCGAATTCATTTTCGAGTTGGTTGCTGTGGCAAGCAGTTTGTCTTCATCAAACAGCGGTATAAGTGTATTTTCAATTCAACCTTATCTATATAAAATATCTTCACACAGTGAGTCCTATATTAACTATTTTCTCTTTTGTCAAACAGACGTCTTCCAATTCGAAGGAACGAAGTCACTTCTGTTTGCCGATCATTCATCTCTACCTTCATTCGTCTCTGCTGTTCGACGCCTTCATTGGTCGCTATGATTATTCATCTCTACGTTCTTTCGTCTCTTCATTTATCTCTACTACTTACTACTACCTGTGCTGTTAATGTCTGGCTGCTTTTCTTTTCGTCTGCCTAAATCAATTTGAGAGATTACGGATTGAAGACCGTAATTTGTTACTGTACCTGCCGTCCCAAGTACCTGTTGCGAGCACCACGTGTCAAGTGCCTTTGAGCGCCAAGATTGAGAGCGTTCTATCAACGAACGTCACTGCCTGCGTCCACCTGTTGCCTATTGTATATATAAATCGTTAAGAAGATGATTTACAACATTCAGTTTAGTGACTTTGCTATTTATGGTTAACTCTAACCGAATAAACTATTACGGGTATTATAAACTTACGATATAATATATACGTATAAATTACGAACCATTTGTTTTATATTAATGTAGGTTATATTTATGATAAATTTTATGAATATATTTGAGATGATCACATTAAAAAAAAGAATTAGTAAATGTCTACGTATTCTCAAGACATAATAATAATTTATTTGACAAATATTGACAATTATAATATTCCTTGTTTTTTTTTTCTATTCATGAGATTACTACATTATTCAGAATTATTTTTCAAAAAAGATATTTTTTGTTGTATTCGACAATAAATTGTGCAATCACTTATCTCGTGCTATTTAACTGTGCAGTAAAAATTGTTATAGTGCATTTTTTTATTACTATACTTCAATATAACTTTGTTGACATACTATTTGCCTTTTATTTTTTTGTTATGATATAAATTTATATTTTTGTGCAAGGTGTATCTCTTTCAGGCATTTTTATTGATTTATATTATTATGTATTTGTTTTATCATATAACTAGTGTATATGTGTCGAAATATTAAGTGTGTACCGCACAATCATAATACCTTTTCTGTCACGGTTTACTTTATTCTCGCGTGATTATCTTAACTGTACCTTACCTTTCTTATCTTATTCTATATGTCTTAAGGTTTCCCTGTTCCTCTAAAAAAAGAGTGTGGTGCCCAAATATTTCCCTTCTCTTATCTTCTAACTTCTCGTCTCTGTCTTCAGTACTTTTCTAACTGATTATTTATATTTGAGCTGTAATAAGAGCCCCGACCAAGATACCTCTACCAGACTGAAGTCCGAGCCTAGTACTGTTCTTTGTGTAACCTCTAATGTATCACTAAAGATGGTACAACTTCAAATCAAAACTTGTGACATGAAAATTGTCACATACACGTCAACATACATCAAACTCTTAGTGGAAGCTTCACACACAACCCCAGTTGTGTGTGTGTATATAAAAAAACAATTTTCACATGTAAAATAAAAACAAAATAGTAATATAGTAAACAAAACGGCTGTATTACTTATCTTATATACATAGTTTTAAAAAATAAAACAACAAAAACAAAAACTATAATTTCAATTTTCTTGCATTCAATTTGTTTGTGTTTTTCTTTTTTCCTGAACCCTGAACTTTTTTATTAATATGGGCTTGTGCTTGTTCTTGTAGTTGTGTGAAGAATGCTTTTGAAGATTTGATACTTTTCGTACTGCTTTCATCCATCTGAAAAAAAAAACGATTTCTTGTCAATAATCAATAGTATTGTAATATTCGACGATACATTTATACAATTTTGTTCTATGGTGGTCAAATTTTGATTTAAGTACTTGTAATCAATATTTCATTGTATCTTAAAAAAAGTACAAAAATAATTAAGTACATTAACATTTTGCAGTTTATATAGATTCGCAGATCTTTGTTTCTTATTTGGTCCCACAACGTCACTCCCAGTATAGACTGTTGCATTCGTCTCTGTTCCACTCAATTTCGAAGTCATAGTCTTGGTTAGGGTCATAGTTCTGACCCGTATGTCATGACCGGCGTTGTTTGGTTCAGCGATCTAAATAAAGACCTTCTTGTTTGTAACTCTGTTAGTAGTCACCTGTATGCCCACATCTCAAAGGTTCCAAAGGTTTAAACATAGTCTAGTCTCACTTACGAGTCCACGCTTCCACTCCATACAGTAGCACTGGAACGATATAGCGATATGTCATTCTAATGTGAAGGTTAATACTGAGATCGTGGCTGAAAACTGAAAACTAAGTTCCTTATTTTTAAAAAAGCAGCTCGAGCAAGTTCTATGCAGCTTTTAATTTATATGGTTGGATCCAAGCTCTCATTGCTATTATTGCCAAGATACATGAGTTTCTCTACTCTGTCCAGTACAGCTATAAATTGCAAAATACGAAAAAAACTCACATGAATAATATTTAGTAATAAGAATCACAATAGTTAAAAAAAAAATAAAATAAAGACTGAAAATAAAATATGCAATATTTTTCTAAATAGAATGAGTAAATAATTTTACTTACCTTCTGTGTATTTCTATGTTTAAGGACATTTAAATCAGTCTTCTTGCCTTTGCTCTTGCCTTTAGATATCAAATTTTTATTAATAGTTTTGATATGATGCTTCTGTTTCAATTTCTTTTTCCTTCTTTCGCGATTTTTGTCTGTTTTAGTTTTTTCAGATGCGCCTAAAACAAAAATGATATTAATAAAAAGTGTTACTAAATATTATAAAATGATATGAAAAATTAAAATGTTTATGATAAATTTATCACATAAAAATGAATCCCTATTTCTCTATGTTAGGCTATAACTTAAGAATGATTGCATTCATCTGTTTTTGAAGTCATCTAATTCTGTATAGAAGCCTCTTATTTCTTCTTCTTCTTCTCGGTATAATACTTCTTCTCAGACGGTGTGATGTGCTGCTGCCATTATTTTCAAGTAAGTGATTTCATTTTTTATTGCTTAATTAATTAGACAGCTAATTTTATATTTAATACATAATCAGTGAGTGTGAGAAAGAAGGTACTACAACATATACTAATTGAACACTGACTAGGCAAGACCTAATGATTTTATAAAATGGTTCAGAAAAAATAAAGCACCAAGTGAAAATTAGATAACAGCAGAAATAATAGATAAAAAAGGAGTTCAACTTGAACAAACACTGTACCAGATCACTACAGTAATAATAAAAAAATTATACATTATTGCAGCTATCAAAAGTGTCTCAATTTGGTCGTTATAAACTAGCAGGATTCGGTTGTTTAATACTTTGAAGTGATTGAATCAAAATGAACAAATCAATCACGATTGATACAACCCTACATCTACGTACCTAAAATATCTCCTTTTGTTTTATTTCTAATTTCTTCTGGTGCCAACAAGGAAGCTTCAGTAGCAGTTACAGGAGCAACTTCTTCCATAGTAATTGCTGGCATATTGTTTACTACTCTCATCTCGGGCAGAGCTGGTTTTGGTGTGAAATGGAAATTGGAAAGTGCATCTAGTTTATTAAAGAGATCTCTCAACAGAATTTTAATGTCTTTGTGTAAACGAGGCTCTTCTTCTTCTTTATCTGCATTAGCGGGATCTGAAAAACCATATAGTATAAAAAAAGAAAAAAAAACAATACACTCGTTGAATTGGTCTATTCTAAAATGTTTCTCACGTTTTCCAGCATAAAAATTTGAACTTAAAATACCCAAAACGGCAAATCTACTACAAATAATCTCAACAATGTGGCAGAAGGCAAGCAAGTCAATAACTTTAAAATGAAATATCAAAATTAAAAAAAATACACTATATAACAGTGTGAAGGTATTTAATATTTTCAATTATTGGGAATTTCCGAAAGAAACCATTTTCAATATACCATTTTTGAACTTTGAAAACTGCTTCCACTTTGAATGAAAAACAAAAGAGTTTATTTTATAATTTCTGTCTTATTCTCACAGGATATTTGTTTAGACTATAGGTTCAGAAATCAATTTAACAATTAATATGTATCTTCACTGAGCTATTCTGATTCTTATTTCAGTTTCTGGTCAAAGGCTGTTGGGTATTTCAGGTAGATAGAGACAGATATGGCAAAAACACATCTTCACAAAACCAAAACATTTAGGGGTCATGGCAAGTTAGTAATACAGTCATCACCATTAATGGTGCTACAGGACTATAGTAGAACCTCAACCTTCCACAGCAACCAAGAAATCTGCTATTTTTTTTTTGTAATGTGAAGTTGAATATTTTGAATCTACTTGTGATAATCTGATTGGTTTGTTCTTCTAGCCAGAATTGTCGAGGGTGGTAATAGTTCGTAGGAATTTTTAAGAAATTGTGAGAAAAAAAAACATTTGCCAGAATGAGTATTACAAAATTTTGGGCAGAATTATCTGGGAAGCATATTCTGAACAATGTAGCTAAAATGCTCTGGCTAACACTTCCAACTATGTATTTATGTCATACAGGAATGCATTATATCCCTACTATTGTTTAATATATACTCAGATATAATTTTCATACAGGCCATACAAGATAAAAGCCTGGGAGTAAAAAATCAATGGTGAAATGATTAATAAACTGGGATATGCTGACAACACTGTTATATTATGCGATAGTCTCCAAGGCCTTCATGAGTACCTGAATTGCATAAGCATGACAGGAAGAGAAATGAGTCTAAAAATGAATACTTCTAAAACAAAATTACCCTACAGATAGATCAACAAAATATTGAGAGAGTTACTTTAAATATCTGGAATGGTACGTTACAGAACAACTAGACCCAAATAAAGAGACCAACTGCAGAATAGAAGCAGCTTGCACAACGTTTCTAAAAATGAATTCATTCTTCTGTAACCACAGCTTGTAGCTAAAATTACGTCAAAGAATGTCCAAATGCTATATTTGGACAATTTTGTCAAATGACACTGAAACCTGAACTCTGAAGGCTAATGCGATCAATTATCTAGAGGCGTTTGAGATGTGTTTCGATATAGATATGCGCTGAATATCCTGGATAGCGATGCAAACCATCAAAGCTTGATTAAACAGACAAATATTGTTCGTGTATTATTGAAAACTGTTAAAATAAGAAAAATTTTATACCTAGAGCACCTTCTAAAAGAAGACTGGTACAGAATCATTCAGCTTATCATGAATGGTAAAATAGAAGGCATCAGAGGGATTGGAAGGAAGCAGATGTCATGGCCCAAGAACATTCATAATTGAACAGGAATATGCAGTACCAAACAACAAGTCTGATTTGCTGCAAACTGTGAAAAATGGCACATAAAAGAAGATTTATGAGGAGCAGGATTTTTATACCTTGTTGTTTTAAAAAAATAAATACAGAAATAGACTGAATCTGTATGCATTGACATGACATGCTGTGGGTGCTTTCCATAAACTTAACTAGTGTATAAATCTTCTGTGCTCAAAAGTACATTTGGGTAGTCACTACTTATGACAACTCGCAGGTTATTATTTTTTTGTTTTACTTTGTTGATTAAAAAATAAAAAACCTGTTTCTACTATGAGTGCTGATATATGCAACATATGCGTATTATGTAAGTATTTATGTAAGATTTAAATAAAGGAAGATTGTCTATTATTAATATTTTACGTGAATCTTATTGACTTTTAGTTAATTCTATTATTTTATTAAAACTGAAAGAGGTATGAAATCTCGGGTTTGGTTGCCTGCTAAAAAGGTTGAGAACCTAAAAGGTTAAAGTGTTCTATACATTGAAATTAAATACTAGGTTATTTTATTCAAAAGGAAATTTAGTCAAATAAAAAAGAACTACCTACTTAGATGGTTGGAACAGACAAATAAGAAGGATAATAAAGGGGCTGCCATTTGCAAAAGAAAATGTTGAGATGATATAGACAAAAGCATGATACTATGACTATAAGATAAGATATTGCGCATGTTTTTGTGACTTCATTGGAGACTTGCACGTTCGAAATGTCAGTTTTTGTATATATCAATAAATAATCTTTAATAAATAGTTTGGAGATATCCTTATGTGTACGATTATTGTAATTATTAAACCTCTTAACTTATTTTCGTCTAGTAATTTCATCACAGAATGCATACAAATCTCATTTAACTTTAACAAGAATTCAAATTCTAGTCTCCAATGACGGCATGTGCAAACCCGACTGATGTTGAGCTACGGGAAGATCCTATCTTGTTATTCAGAGTATCATGGACAAAAGTACTGTGTATCTGTCCATATACTAGAAATATTTAAAAATTAACCTAAAAATATACTAATAATATATGTACATATAAAAGTTTTTATTAAAAAATTGCAAGTTATTTAACTCACCCAATGCTGCTTGTTGATCAAGAAACTCCTTTTCATATATCTGTGCTAATGAATGTTTACTCTTTTCTTGGTCTAACAACAGTTTCTTCTTATATTCTAGAGGTGTTTCTACAGGTTTTTCTTTCCTCACTACACTATCAAAAGCCTTGTCTTTAATTCTTTGTCTGATTATGTCTTCTAGCTGCATTGTGGTGTTTTCAGTTATGACAGGTGCTAGAAAAGTTGGAAATTATTATTTGAAACTTATCTACATGGAGATAATATAGTTATACACCAGATTTTCTGTACAAAAACATGATTATTTACATACCTGGTCTAGCAGTTAAGTCAAATTCTACAATTTCCTCCAACAATGAGTTTTGTGGCCTATTTTCAGCAAGAATCTCCCCTTTTAGTGTCCAAGGTTTTTCACTAACAGCATTTTCTTCAATTTGTGCAATTTTTTCTTGGAGTCTTTCTTGCCTTAGTTCTAATGAAGATTTAACTTCTTGATTTTCTTCTTCATTATCCATTGTTTCAAGAAATTTATTCCTCTTTGGCTTATTCTGGACCTCAGGATTACTTGGTCTAAAGAAATCCTTAAATTTTGCAGTTCTAGTTTTATCATTTTCTTCATCTGAATCGTCTTCTTCAAATAAATTGATGCTATCTAAAAAATTACAATAACATTAGATGAATTCAAATGAGTAAAGCTCCAACTCATGGCAAAATCTACTCACTCATTAAGAAATGGCAAAATGTAGACAAAATTGGCTCTGACAATTTCATTTCTATGACTTTCTAAATATGCCAGTATAACAGACTATAATACCTTACTGTTTGTGTAATATTTTTTTACCTCAGCAAATAAGGGTTAAAGAACTAATAATATATAAAGATTAAGAGCTTTACCTTCATCATCTGAATCTGATTCTTCATCTCCTTCAATTTGTTTTGGTTTTTTACTTGAATTGTCAATATCTTTTTTTTCTTCTGAATTCAAAAAATTTTCCATTTCATCTAGTTTAAAGAATTCATCATCAACAACAGACTTCTTCCTAGAAGTATATATATTTCCATTTTCAATATCATCCACTTCCATTTCTTCTTCGTTACCCACATCCTCTTTTTCTGAAAAATCATCATCTGATACATTTCCTGAGTCATCTTTATCCTCTACATTAGTTTTTGACTGGTCTTTATCATCGTCTATCTCATCTCCATCATCATCATCATCATAGCTCACTTCTTCATTAACTAAATTTGAAAATACTAAGTTATCCCTATTGATAATATATTTTGGAAGATTGCTAAGAGATTTTGATAAAACACTGCTATTTTGAAGTTCAATTTCTTGCCATATTTGTTCAATGTCGAAACCCTTAATGAGTAATTGTGATAAACCTTTGGAATTATTTAATTTCTTCTCCTGTGACTTTGAGAAGTCATAAAATTTTTTAAGATTAACTTTTACACATTCTGGCACATCAGTTTCGGAGCTAAAAAATAAGTGAAATTGCCTTATTTACTAAATATTAAAACTATGATTATCAAACTTAATAAACAAGGACCAAATAGAACATTATACATACTTTAAAAACCTTTCTGGTTTGTGAGTTAACTGTTGAAATTCTTCCACAATTTCATTTAGATTATCGGCGTCGTGAGACATAATTATAACTTATATAATATTTTATTTAGAAATATTTGTAACATTGATGAACAATATTACACAAAAAATAGGTTGGAATTTATATTATATATTATATTCTTATATTATTTAAACCACACCACGTTTACTTTGACAGTTGACATTTCGTTTTATTTTTGTTTGTCAGTTGTTGAAAACGATTAGTAACTACTGTGGTGCCATCTTTGTTTAAATAGGGATACTATAGAATAAAAATAATAATAAACATTCTAAAATTGCTTAAACCTAAATTAACAATATATAGATTCAAGTTTTATAAAAAATAATTTAATAGGAATGGTCTAATTAAAACTATCAACACGCATTGGGAATCTAACACAATACTTTTATAATCGAGTATTATAAATACCAATCCAGAGCGACGCCATTTGCAATAAATAGTATGGCAGATTCCACAGTTACTGTCGTAAGGGTAAAGCAGTGACCGCGTCAATTTGATGAAAATAGTTATCTAGTTTACCTATTCCGAAATTATCAAAAATGAAAACCTATGGTAGAAAGAAAACCGGCTCTTTGGAACCTGACAATGAAGAAGTAATCATTGATTTGAATGAAATCTGTAGATTGTGTATGAATAAGGAAGACCAATTGATTTCTATATATCAGAACGATGATGCTGTACCCCTTAATCTTAAAATACTGGCATGTTTGGCTGTTGAGGTAATTTTTTTCATATAACTTGGGTTTTACTGCAGTAAATATTACTATTAACTAAGAACCCTTTTTATAAGTAATACATAATTATATCTGATGCTATTGCCTGACATATTGATTGTATAAAGTAAAATGTAGCCAATAACTTTCCAATCAAAATATAAATGTTTCAAAAACCGCATAATTTACATTTAAGTAATAGATGGCGACAAGGATCAGAGCGACACCCCACCTATAATTTAATAGTTTTCTGCATAGATTAGAGGAGGGATGGTTTTCTGTTTTGTTATTTGAAGATTGTTGTAAAAAGAATTTCCACAAAATAAGCAGGGAGGTGAGGCAGAGTTAGGTAATAACAATAGCAGATTTCCTGTAATTTCGTAATCCTGTTGACTGGTCATAAACTGTCACATGCAGTCATCTACAAAGTACATTGTATATTATTTGATAGAAACTTCAGAATGAATATCCAATCCAAATTTATGGTTTTAATCATTTGTTTCTAACATAATTTGTACCAAAATACCAAAGAATATAGAGGCATATATTATTTGTGTCTATATTCCTTGATAATGATACTTGGTAGGTTCATACAAAAAACACCAAGAATTTATTGTTAAAACAAAATAGATTTTATATGTAATGTAACAAATCATGCCTTAAGTTTGTTTTAAAAGTCATTTGTTGACTAAGACAACACATCAATTTTATGATTGATTTAAAACTTATACAGAGATTGATATTACATATAATATGCTTTAAAATGAGCAGCCTTGATATATACGAGACCTCGTTAATCGCGTAGACTAGGGTTTGCGTGTACTCCCTGATGTGCCGATTTTTCAACAACCAGTCTTCCGTCTAAAGGTCTTGATTTTGTCCCTGATTGTTGCCTCTTTCTGGGGGACGCGAGTGAGGACCATGGGGTACTTGGGCATATTATTGGGATCAACTACATTCAAGTTTGTTCCTCCCACAGGCCCTACACAGTCCACATCACTTCAGTAGTCCCACAAGGTCCCTTTGTTAAACAATGTTTGGTGGAACTGCAGAAGTTGATTTTGTCTTCCGATAGGATCCTCATCAACTGCTTGTTTCAGTTTGTTAATAATCAGTTCTGCTTGAGCTTGATGTAGTTGAGTATCAGGATGGTATCTGTGTGCAACCGCCATTTTGAATATAGTTTTGTCACGCTATATGACGAAGTCTGCTCGCTAGAGCTTCTTTTTTTTAGTAACTCTTTGTTGCGGGTGGGTTGGGGGAGGAAGTGATGGTATTTTCTTGAGGTTTCTTTTTACCTTCGGGTGTTGCAGATTGTGCCGCTTTGGTTTAATTGGGATTTGTTGTGATGGTTCATGCTCCAGCCTTTTTATACTTCTCACAGAGTCTGTTCCATTTGGAACGAATTCTGCCTGCATTTCTATACAGAATTTGCGACTGGAGTCGCCTTTCAGACCACTCCCGTTGTCTGTGTTCTCTTTTTTGTCTCGCTGTCCATATATGTCCTGCTATTTATATGAGTTGGGACGAAATACTGGTTGCTGCCATGCCTCCCCTAAGAATGATATCTATTTGTATGACTAGTTTTTGAATAGCTAACTCAGGTTTATCTTAATTTTCTAGGTCATTGAAGGTGATGGACTGCCTGATAAACTTTGTTGTCCATGCAAATATCAATTGGAAAAATCATACAATTTTAGAAAAAAATGTGAAAATTCTGACTTAAGACTTCGGTTGCATTTAAGAGATCTTCCAGAGGATGAATATGACAAAGACGATGTCATTGCTAATGCATCAAAGGAAGAAAATGAAACTGAAGTTTTACAACTGCAAGAAGAAAGATTAAGTGAAGTTATAGAAATAGAACCTAGTACTGAAGAAGATCTGGTTGGTAAGTTTTGATATAAGCAATTTTTGTTTTTATTATAATGATTAATCAAGTAAACTATTTCAAAAAAGACTTTAAGTTATTTGCAGAAAATAATTTATAATAAACTTTTATTACTAACACTTTTATCAAATATATTATTGACGAAAAATTGTTAAACTATCTTAATTATAAACAAAAGACGCTTATTAAATGATAATAAAGCTGAACAAGTGATGAAAATTATGTCATTTTCTTGCGCATATTAAGTATAATTATATTAATAAACGAGGTTGCGCGGTACTCGCGTGTCCGATAAAAATTGCCAAAACTTATCACTCAATTTGGAAATCTGAAACTTTCCAGAAAATTGTTTAATATTAAATTTCAATCTAGAATTGATCAAAAAGGAAGATTCAAATATTTGTTGCACAATTTTTTAAATAAAAACAAATATTTTTTTCCAAAAATCGCCATTTTGTTTATAATTAAAATTAACAGTTCGGACATTTTTTATGTTTTCCAGAAATGTGCATACTATATTGTTTCAAAATTAAAAATAGAAATGTCTAAACCTGGGGTTCCCAAACTGGGGGGAGTGAGGACATGTCAGGGGGGCGCGAGACAAGTCGAAAATTAAATTAAATTTAGGCAGTCTTTCTAAAATTCTAAATTAACCATGCTGTTTAGAATTAAAACTAAAACCAAAAGCCCTAAAAAAATAAAACAAACCACTGTAACATCTGACTTTACACAAATTTGAAAGCGAATGCTTGAAATAATGGAATATGTTCAATTGCCGTTCAATGTGGCAATATCGCGTATTTGACAACCGAGCGTTTCCAAGCACTGCCTCCCTCCTTCCCCTAGACATAGTCCAGCTAATCAATTTTGATTGTGAGTTGTGACTCAATGTTTCCAGACCTAGGGAATTTTCCCTACAACTAGGGAATTTTGAGCCAGCTTAGAGAAAAAGGGATTTTAAGAAAAATCTAGGGAATTCTTAATATTTCTAAGACTATTTTAAAAAATCAGTTGGATTTAATAAACTTTCCAAAATTGCACATATATCATCTACTTGGAAATCGTACTATTTGAGGAATCACTGAATTATGTGATTTTCCATCGGAGACTAGAGTGGTGAAATTTCACGAACTGCGAATTACTTCAGGGTTCCATCTTTGCTAAAGTATATATTGGCCTCGGGCGATTTTTGGTTCTTAGTTTCCCTTTCTCTAACTGTTTATGTGTTCTCCGTCGGAGACTAGAGTGGTGGTATTTCACAAAGGGCGAATTACGTCGAGGATCAACCTGGGCTAAAGTATCTTAATATTTTGATATTCTTACCCCTTCTTAGCATAAATACAACTATAAAACACTTGTGTAGAAGGGACAAAAATGATTCTATTAAAAACATATGTGTACAACTAGAGTATCATGCTGACTGCCAAGAATCTAGAGAACTTTTTTCAAACGTCAAGTATCAAGCGGGAGAATTCAAACCGCAAACACAGGTCATCAAAGATCATAGTGGAAATATCTCAAATACCTCTTTCTGACATACATGTATAAAACGTCACATTGATGATATGACCGAAGACGTACAAAACCAGGTAGTTGACGCAGTAAAACAATCGCCATTTTTTTTTGCTATTCAGCTAGATAAGAGTACAGACGTAGCACAATGTTCTCAATTAATTGTTTATGTTCAGTATATTGAAAACGAAAGAATGAAAGACGAGCTACTCTTTTCTACAGAGTTGGAGACCACGGCAAAAGCTATTGATGTTATGAAAGCAGTGTCAGACTTTTTTGACAAACATGATCGGTGTATGTACAGATGGCGCGCCTTCAATACTTGGTTCTCGCTCAGGATTTGTACAATTAGTAAGAGAGAAAAATGCTGATGTAACTGGGATACATTGTGTTATACAATCGACAAGTCTTGGTCTCAAAAAACTCTCAAATGAACTGAATGCTGTCTTAAAGTTGTGTATTAAAATAGTGAATTACATAAAAAACGGTGCGTTGAATACTCGACTGTTTAAAACTCTTGTGAAGATTTAGGGAGTGATCACAAAACACTGCCATTTCATACAGAAGTACGATCGCTCTCAAAAGGAAACATGTTAGTAAGATTATTTGACCTTCAAGATGAAGTAATCACCTTCTTGGAACAGCAAAATCAAAATAAACTAAGGGTGGCATTCAAAAAACATTGTACGAGTAATATTGGCTTATTTGTCAGACATCTTTGACTCGTTGAACAGCCTTAGCCTCATCGTGATGCGATCAAGATGTATATTGAGAAATTGCAACTTTGGATGCATAAAATAGCAGCAAACCCCTGCTATTATTCGAGTTTCCCTAAAGTAGAGTCAATCTCAGAAGAAACACGCTTCAAGGACATTTATGAAGGATCGAGTTTGAAAATCCAAATATCAAGCCGTTTGGAGAGCCTAATTGAAGAGTTCCAGAAATACTTCCCAAACACTTGTGACGACATTCCATGTCAACATAGACTACCTGCCTGAATCACTTCAAGAAGATGCTTTGCAAATAAAACATGATTCCTCTGCCAA